GGGTCACTCCGAGCTCACCCGAGATTGCGCGAGATTGCCTCTACGCGGCGACCCACGGGCCTACCCCCCCCCCCCCAAGTACCCAGATCCCATCCCCTACCCCTCATGTACCCGAACCCTAGGCGGCGATCCACGGGCTCGAGCTCGCGGGACGAAACATCACCGTCTCCTTTATGGCGGAGCTGCCCGCCGCCCTCTCCGCCATCGCCGCCGGCAAAGATAGCCGCGATGCCGCCGAGATGTGGCAGAGAGACCGCCGAGATGTGGCAGAGAGACCGCCGAGATGTGGCGGAGCTGCCCGCCGCCCTCTCCGCCATCGCCGCCGGCAAAGATAGCCGCGATGCCGCCGAGATGTGGCAGAGAGACCGCCGAGATGCGGCAGAGATGCCGCCGAGATGTGGCAGAGAGACCGCCGAGATGTGGCCCAGACAGCCGCCCTCTCCTCCCCCTCCGCCCTCTCCGCCCCCTCCGCCCTCTCCGCCGGCGTGACACGGCCTTCTTGCGCACCGCGGCGCGCTGTGCCGAGGCTTTCCCACCGCCGCGCTCCACGCCGCCCGCGCCGGACGTCGCGTCGCCCCTCCCTGCCCTGGAAAACAGTTATGGATACCCACAACTCGTAATCCGCCACGCGCGCACGGGTCGCCGCCGAGAGCTCGATGCCTCCTCGCACACGCGGTCGCGACAACACACTCCTCTCACTTCACGTGTTCGCACATGGGACAGGCGGGATGGGGTCCGCGCTCTCGGGCGTGCTGGGCGGCGTGCCCGGGCTTGGGCTCGGGGCTCACCTAATGATGGGCGGCGGCGGCGCGGGCGTCGAAGACAATATCGGGCGAGCGGTGTGAACAGCGCCTCTTCACACCCACCGAGCTGTGAATAGGCGCGGGCGTCGAAGACAACATCGGGGCCGAGCGGGCGGCGCTGCTCGCGCGGATCGGCTCGGCGGCGCCGTCGCCGTACGTGCTGCTCAAAAACATGTTCGACCCGGCCGGCAAGGACGAGACGAGCGACCCGGACTTCTTCGGCGACCTGCGCGAGGACATCATGGAGGAGTGCGGCAAGTTTGGCAAGGTCGAGGCGGCCAAGGTGGACAGGGCGTCGCAGGGACACGTGCTGCTGCAGTTCGACTCGACGGGCTCCGCCACAAAGGCGGCCTCCTCCATGCACAGCCGCTGGTTCGCGGGCAAGCAAATCACGGCCGAGTTCACAGACGAGGCCGCCTTCGCCTCGGCGCCGTCCGCGTGATTCGACGGGGGGGGGGGGGGGGGGGGGAAATTCCGTCCCATCCCGTGGTGCCGCCCCTTTCCCCCCCCGAGGGCCCTTTGGCACCAAAGGGGGGGGGGGTAAAAACTGGGGAACCCCGGGAAAGTTGGGTTTTTTTTGGGGGGGGGGGGGGGG